AAACGATTCTGAAAAAAAAAATATGCGCAAGGTTTAAATGATTACTCTATTACATTCGTATGTACAAATTATGTAGCTTATTTTTTCTTTAATATGTTTGGTTTGTAGAAATACAATCGCCAACGCTTTGTTCATTACATAAAAATGTATTTTGAAGATATTAAATAAACATAGGGCATTTCCTTTTTTTAATTTACTTTATATTGTTCAGGTATAAATAATAATAGCATGCCTAAAACTCGGCTGATGAATTGGGTTTTATAGTTTGTATACATTTATATATATATTTGTAAATTCCAGTTCATCAGGATTTAATTAAATAAAATGGGGATTTATTGATTAAGTGAAATGCAAATGCATGTGGGCAGCTTTACATGCATTTTGTATGAAGCTTTTAATGATATTATTTATAAGTTGATCAGTGAGGGAAATTTGGGTTTCAGAACCACATAAATGTCCGATTCTTCTGAAACTGAAAATTCCCATTTGGCAAAATATTACCTAACAATCTGTCAATGTAAATACAATCTAACGAAGACTTCAACAATTGATAAGACATATCCCTTGATGGAAATAGCACTTTCCTTTTTTCTTTTTTTTTTTTAACGTACAGTTTAAAGAAATAACCGGGACATACACTGTCTGATTATTGAGATATGAACCTGAGTCAAGATCCTCAAATATCCATCGGCAAAAACTTAACCAAGATTAATTCTTACCAATCAAGGGTTTCAAAGATTTCCTAATCACGATCTCATCACATGTCCTCAGTGATCCTGATCTGTAAAGTTTAACCCTGAGTTAGACCCTGATGTACAGTCAGGGTGATGGGCAACACTGCACTTAAGTTTGAAATCATTTTAATTTAATTGAAGGTTTCCAAAGATTTTTTCAATTTAATTTTTACAAAACATTTAATTCATTTTTATTCTACACGAAGTAATCTTTACAAAAATAGTGTAATTTTGTTTATAAAATCCCAAAACTTCTGTTCCATTGTTCAGAGTACTAATCACATACGTATCAAATATGTTTTTTTTTTTTTTAAATACTTCTATTGCATTTTGAACTGTCTTCTCTGTGATAACTCTTTGAAAAGTGTGTTGATTTAGGGGACCGCTCTTTAGTTTGTTGGGTATACCAAGGATATTAACGACAGTTGGAAGCGTGCACTGTCATAAATGGGTTTATCCTCACTTTACAACAAAAGCCCATGCTTAACCCCCTATGACAGTACTACAGGAGAACAGGGCCCCTCTTTGTAGTTACAGAAAAAGTAAAATATATAAATTTCATTAAATGATCAGGAATTTTGATGCTCTCTGATTGGTACAGACGCTCTTTCCTAAGGTGTACCTCCGAGTGAGTTCACTTCAGTGTGAAGTTCCGGGAGGGTTTTTCCTCTTGACCAACCATAGTTTGCTTACAATTTTATAAGCCAATCAAAGTCATGAAGAATTTTTATCCATTTCAGAAACTGTTCATCAAAATTTTTTCTGATGTTTTAAATAATAAAAAATTCCAATCTATAGATTCAAAAGCTTTATGAAAATATAAAAATACAAGAATGCCTTCTTTATTAGTGGATTCACAGTATTGAAAAATATTTAAATAGAAGTCGTGTATTTGTTCCAATAAATCTATCCTTGATGTAAGCTGTTTGATCTTTACTTATGAGTTTATCTATATATTTTTTTAAGGCTAAAGGGACTATAATTATGCAATTCAGTCTTTCCTTCTTTTTTGTATATCAAAGATATTATTGAAAATCATTGTGTAAAAGGCATCGTTTCTTTTCAAAAGTTTGTTTTATTGAATTATAGTAATATTCTTCTATATCGTTGCAAAATATTTTCATAAAATTCGATGGGCATTCCATCTGAGCCGGGAGATTTGTTATTTTTCAACTGTTTTATAGCCTGTTTCCATTCTGTGAGAGTAGGAAATTCGTCACAGAGTTGTCTTTCTTGATTTGATTAGCGAATTACATTCGATATCAATAAAGAATATAATTATGATTTAAGATATTCTTTATTTCCTCCAAATTAATGGAGAGTTTGTATAATCAAATAATTAACTCATGTGATAACACAATATAAAAAGGAAACATATTTATCATGTATGTATGGTTTTTTGATAGCGTTTTACAGGTTTCGACAATCTACTATATGGCAAATAAACCCTTTGTTTTTATACACTGTTGATGCAACGATTATCAAAGTACCCCACTACGCTTCCACTTTTGTAAAAAAAAATTTTTTTAAACTTGTGCCTTGAATAAAACCCATTAGAGATAAACACTGTAACTTCACAGACATGATAATCTTCAAGTGTACCTGTGCATTCAAAATTTTAAAATTTCAAACTGGCGACTATTGCCATGGAAATAGACGAAGTATGAAAATTTGATTTTAATTTTTTTTTTCTAAAAACTGCTGCTCCAAACTTTTTGAAACTTTAAAGGATTTATCAAAGTCATATCAAAGTGAAGTGATCTATGCAAAAAGAATGGGATCGGTTTGTCAAAACATTGTCAATGATACCATGAAAATAATGAACTATTATATAGGACTTGCGCTTCTGCAAAACTCACTGTCAATGTAACCTACTTGGGGTCAACATATCCTAGGTTTGGTGACCCTAAAAGTCATAGTGTTCAAAGTACATTGTATATAGGTTTAAAGATTTCAAAATGTTATAAGCCATAATATCAGAAAGTATATTACTGTGGCTTACTTTAAGATTAACACACTGCACTACCACAAAAGCATCAATAACAAAGTTATCTGATTCTAAGCAAATAAGTGTCCAAGATATTTAGCTAAAAAGTTTTGAAAATGAATTGTTGTAAAGTTTAGAAAATACTCGTAGGTCACTGTGCATACTTCTTATTTTGACAAACCCTTACCTTAACAGTGCGTACTCTTCTTTCAACCCCGATATAGCACCGTAGGTGGTCAAGTTTTTCAAACTGTTTGCTTCTAATGGCAAAGTTTTTCAAAATGGTTCCTTGAAGATTTTTTTTTCATATGAAGGTAAATGAGTCATATAGTGAGTAGATGGATTATGCCCATATTCAATGATGATTATGTAGACAAAGTATTTCAAATGGAAGTGGCACTTAAGGATATCCGATCCTCGGCCAGGAAGGATAACTCTTAAATTCATTATTTTATTTAAAAAATCTCAAAATGAAGCTTGAAATTGAGATCTTTTCATGCAACAATTTTCATTTTATGCATTCTAATATGATTCAAGGTTCTTTGAAGTCTTAGACACGGTTTTGTAAAACGTTGATATTTGTACCCCATAAAAGAAAAAAAAATTAATTCATTTTTAGAGAAATTGAATTTCCTTTAGTCTAGCATTAGATACGACTGCTTATCAGCATGATATGAAATTAGATGTGATCTGTGATTTCTAGCACATGATAGCACAAGCTTTTTACACTATGTATTATATGACAATTGAAGTAAAAAGAGGAACTAAAATACTCTATAAGCATAATAAAAATACAATTTTTCTCCAAATGCCTGGATACCTATATTTTTCTATCCTAAATTATATTTGGTGACCAATGTTCAATTAGAAAAAGCATAGCTGGTGTTTTTATTCGCATTTCTTGAAAATATATTTGATATCCGATAATCTTCCCTATATAATATGATTAACTATAATGATGAACTTTAAAGAAATTCCATGGGTAAATTCACGTTACTATGTGAAATCAGAGACATTTTTGTGAGCATTTTCAATTAATTAAAAGCTGATTTTCAGAACCTAAGGATCGGACTACCTTAAAATCCATGCCTTAATTTGTTAATTCATGAAGCAAGAGAGTGCAATTACTTCAAAGCATATTGTTAATAGCAGATTACAATTTTATAAACTATTAATTGAGGGTGAAGAAGCAGTTCATTACATAACGATTTTACGATAGACTAGAAACACTATTTGGGCATTCCCTAATTTTTCGGATATGGACGTTTTAAGGAGGGATTCTTCTCATATTTCTTGTATTTAGAAATTAATGAAATTTTCACAGATTCAAGAAGACATTATCATTAAGTGATGGTATCAATTAGATTAAATTTGACCGTTTTATTTTAAAAGCAAGGTCAGGTCAAGGTCATTATTTTTTTTCCTTGACCTTATGAATAAAAAAAAAATACTGTTGCCAATCATGCCATGCCTACTTCTATTTCAAAAGATTAAATGTTTTCCTTTTTGCATAAAAAATATTACCATATAGGGTCTATAAGTTGATACTACCAAATTGACATAAATGATTTAACTAAAATAAATACTGGCTAATCCGAATTTCCTCTGTTTTTCCTAGATTTTTAGGATATATTAGTTATTTTTATATGCTTTGTATATTTAAATTTTTCTTATTTTCACATATGGTAAAGTAGTCATATAAAGATACAAACTGACAAAAAAACAAAAAGTTTTGACCGCTTTAAAAACTAACAAAATTGTAGTTTGTTTGGAAATTCATATTTATTGATATATTTTAAAACTTCAGTCCATTATTATTAATTTTACTTACATTTGAAACTTTCTTAAAGTCTTTGATTGTTTAACATCTTTTAACTAAGTACATTGTTCTATAGTAATTTTGAGAAGCAGAAAAGGAGATATTTTCATATGCCGCCGTTCCGCCAAAAATATAGTCCCTGCTAGATTTCAAACTCAGTTTACCATTTCTATTTAAAGTTGTACAATTATGATGAGGAAAGAAAAATACGATCTTTTGAATCCCTTACATCTAAATATATAAGACATATAAGAAAATATACTTTGAATATTTCATCTAGTCAGAAAGCAGACAAGAATCCCTCAACAACAACTAATCTTCAAAAATATTTGTAGATTAGGTGCTAATGAACTTTTTAATTTTGAGACACTTAATTCTTTTTACAGTTATTTTTCCTGGATTCTGATAAAATGTTTATCTACATGCTGTGAGAATATAGAAAAAACACCAGTAACTCGTGTATTATTTATTTTCTTTGGCACATTGAAATGTTTTACAACATATATCTTAAATACATCCCTGAGGTAGAAAGTAAATCAGTGACCATGACACCAGAGGAAGTTCCGTAATAGCTTAGTGAAAAGAACTCACATCTCCATTAAAGCATAAAAGGTGATCAAAAGCACCAATCTGGTTACATTAAAATTACGGATAAAATCTAAGTCCTGGTTCACTATCATTGTAAAAACGCATCTCGCTCTCCTCCACAGTAAAAAAAACTCCCAAAACTCGAAAGAGCAAAATTCGGAGGATATGTTTTGAACTTGTGAGCATGCACCAATACAATAACACGGAGATGGCTTCCTAGCTCCACTGTGATGAGATTGGATGTCTCGAGAGACAGATGACAATGAACACCTTACGGCAGGAATCGTCAAATGTTACTGATAACATTAAATCCAAACCACATCAACCGTAACGGAATATCGATCTGGGAGATTCCGTGAATATCGTTGACTATAATTAGGTCTATGTAAATGTTGATCTACTGTTTGTATATTATGACACAGTCCTGTCTGTCTTCTCTCTTCAAGTTTTGGTTGCGGATATAATTGTTCGTATAACGGGGGATTTAATTCCTTACACGGATCCGACTCTGAGTATGGTGGGAGATGCACCCCAAAGGGAAGTTCAAAAGTGTCAAGGTCAAATTCCCGCGCTCTTCCAAAGGCTCGACGATTTCTCTGCGTGAAAATAAAATGAGGTTTATTTACTAAAAGATTATATAATTATTCTAATTTTCTTTTAAAGTAACTAAAGATAAATAAAGATAAATAAAGAAGACTGTGAATCCATATATCTTTCTTAAATAAAAAAAACAAAACAAAAGGACTTACAGGTTTGTATAGATATTCATAGGTTCCTCTTCCTTCCGATAGTTCCTGATACTGGGAAACCACACAAGCGAAGCAGTAGCACTGTCAATAGACAATGGTTAATATCAGTTATATACAACACTGTCATTAAACAAGGGATATCAGATATATAAAAACAATAACACAGTAAAAGAACTACGGATATCAGTCACTCAAAGCAGTGACAATCAATACACAAAAGAAATCAATAATACAATAATAGGGCAGTCAACACTGAGGAATGTCAGCAAAATGATGCAAGAACATGGTCAATAGACAAAGAACATCCACTTTACAAAGCAAAAAAAAAAAAAACAATCAATAGACAAAGGACATCAACTATACAAAGCATTTAAATACTAGTAGTCAACAGACAAAGTCCATCCACTATACAAAGCAGAAAAACAGTCAATAGACAAAGGACATCCACTATACAAAGCATTAAAACAGTCAGTAGACAAAGGACATCCACTACACAAAGCAGAAAAACAGTCAACAGACAAAGGACATCCACCAAACAAAGCAGAAAAACAGTCAACAGACAAAGGACATCCACTATACAAAGCAGAAAAACAGTCAACAGACAAAGGACATCCACCAAACAAAGCAGTAAAACAGTCAATAGACAAAGGACATCCACTATACAAAGCAGAAAAACAGTCAACAGACAAAGGACATCCACCAAACAAAGCAGTAAAACAGTCAATAGGCAAAGGACATCCACTATACAAAGCAGAAAAACAGTCAACAGACAAAGGACATCCACCAAACAAAGCAGTAAAACAGTCAACAGACAAAGGACATCAACTATACAAAGCAGTAAAACAGTCAATAGACAAAGGACATCCACCAAACAAAGCAGTAAAACAGTCAATAGACAAAGGACATCCACTATACAAAGCAGTTAAACAGTCAGTAGACAAAGGACATCCACTATACAAAACAGTAAAACAGTCAACAGATGAAGGACATCCACCAAACAGAGCAGAAAAACAGTCAACAGACAAAGGACATCCACTATACAAAACAGAAAAACAGTCATGCAACAGACAAAGGACATCCACTATACAAAGCATTAAAACAGTCAGTAGACAAAGGACATCAACTCTACAAAGCAGTTACTGGGAATTGTAAGCAATAACAGTCAATAGAAAAGGGATATCAGTCATTCAAAGCAATAACGGTCAATACATGAAAGATATCAGTAATACAAAATAATAATATATTCAATCATACTAAGCAGTAAAACAGTCAACTGATAAAGGATATCAGCCATACAAAAAACAATGATAAATTCATCAAACAAAGGATATCAGTGAAATAAAGCTAAAATAGATTAAAAACAAAGAATAACAGTTATACAAAGCAGAAAGAAATTAAAAGCAAAGGATATCAGCTATACAAAGCAGAAATAAATTAAAAACATAGGACATCTGTTATACAAAGCAGAAAGAGATTAAAAGCAGAGGATATCAGCTATACAAAGAAGAAAGAAATTAAAAGCAAAGGATATCAGCTATACAAAGCAGAAATAAATTAAAAGCAAAGGACGTCAGTTATACAAAGCAGAAAGAGATTAAAAACAAAGGATATCAGCTATACAAAGAAGAAATAAATTAAAAACAAAGGACGTCTGTTATACAAAGCAGCTATACAAAGCAGAAAGAAATTAAAAACAAAGGATATCAGTTATTCAAAGCAGAAAGAGATTAAAAACAAAGAATATCAGCTATACAAAGCAGAAAGAGATTAAAAACAAAGGATATCAGCTAAACAAAGAAGAAAGAGATTTAAAAAAAAACAAATTTCAACAATACAAAACAGAAACACAGTCAACCAAACAAGGCAATCACTAAGTCAACAGAGGATATCACTTATAAAAAGCAATAACAAAACCAACAGACAAAGGGTGAGATATGGAGATAACAAACACTAATCAAGCTCAAAGGTCCATTGAAACAATACAAATCGAGAGCAGAGCAAACACAGACTACTAAAAACTATCAATAATATATATAGCAATAACAATGTCAACAAAGGAAAAAAGCCATACAAAGCAAAGAAAAAGTGAACGGACAAAGGATATCAAGCTAAACAAAGCAGTAACACATTAACAAGCAAAAAAATACTCGCAATACAATTCAGATACACACTTAACATCCAAACAAAGCAATGACACAGGGTATCAGCTATACATAGCAATAACACAGTAAAGAGACAGAGAATATCAGCCATCCAGAGCAATGACAAAGTCAACAAACAAAGGATATCAGCTACGCATAGCAATAACACAGTCAACAGACAAAGAATATCAGCTACACATAGCAATAACACAGTCAACAGACAAAGAATATCAGCTATACAAAGCAATAACACAGTCAACTAACAAAGGATATCAGCTATATAAAGCAATGACACAGTCAACAAACAAAGAATATCAGCAACACATAGCAATAACACAGTCAACAAACAAAGGATATCGGTTATACTTTAGGAATGACTCTAATTCTTGGCCAAATTATTCGAGTATAACCTGGTTTGGGTCAGTTTACGCTTTATAATCCGCGAAGTGGATTATAAAACAGCGTAAATTGACCCAAATCAGGTTATACTCGAATAATTTGGCCAAGAATAAGAATCATTCCTTATAATTTAATTTTAAAATCATTAAATAACTATGGGTGTAAAATTTCGTTGCTTTTTATTAGTTCAAATTTGCCGCTCATTAATACAACCATAGTAACGGAAGTAACGGAAGTGATGGGAAGCGAGGGGAGATAAAAACTGATACATAGGCCTAGCAGCCTTGTTGTTTGTTTACATGGGGTAAGATCGAATTATTGTTTGAAGTTAAAGGTACATTTATTAAATTTGGAATTTTCCCTGAATCCTGAGGACTGGAAATGAGAAGATTGTATGGATACAGATGATTCAGCTGGTTGTCGGGGGGGGGGGGGGGTGTCCCCATACCAAACCAGGTTATACAGAAATAATTTGTGTTCCTTTTTGGATATTAACCAATCAGAGGCTAGAATACAAACAAAATTAAATTAGAAAGCAATGACACAGTAAAGAGACAAAGAATGTCAGCCATACAAAGCAATGACAAAGTCAGCAGAAAAAGTATCTTAGCTATTGATGCAAGAATGCAGTCAACAAATGAAGGATTTCAGCCATACAAAGCAGTTACACTAAAAAGAAATGTGATGCATTTGGATATCAGTCAGATGAGAGAAAAATTGTTTAATCAATACTTACATTCGCAATGAGTTTGAAACAGTAGAAAAACATCCAGACTATCTCCCATGCATTAAGTGTCTAAAAAAAACATAATTAAGTAGTCATTAAAACACCAGCATATCATGCAATCAAGCAATATATCTTAAAAATCATTAAGGTGGAAAATCTTTTCAATATGGTCAGTGTTTGAAATAACCCTGCGCCCGACCGCCCGAGACGCACACATTTTGCAGCGGGCGAACAAATTTGCATGTACTGACGCCCGGATGGACGTGTTAAAATTTTCGATAATTAAAATTCATATTTTCATATCAAGTAATAGTATCGGTAGCAAAGTGTAACAAGCCAATGAGAAGAATTCATCAGTCTATAGATTCTGGTTTGAAGTTATGGTGACCTGGTTCCAGTCACATTATCGTTAAAAAACAAATTTATAAAAGACAATTTTTTTCTCGGGCAAGTAGATCTTTGGCAGGGCTGACAACTTTTACTAGCAGTCAGCCCTGCATGTCTGACTAATTTTACAGTGAGTTTCAAACACTGATATGGTTAATCCATTTCTGAGACAATATGTTGGTCAGTAGGCTTACCTTCTCTCTCTCCATGTGAACTGTGGTCAGAAGAGCTATAGAGCCTGTCTCATACAACACATTGAGAATAAGGACATACACCCACGGTAACAGGAGATAACGCTTGTCCTGTAGCAAAAACAAAAATTAAGCTGGAATCACAACAAAAGTCACAACAAAATTGTCATAACTACAGAATAAATTGTCATGTTTTTAATTTAAAACATGCTCCAATATCTTAAATTGTCCATTGAGTTGTGTGTTCGTTTACACTGTCTTTCAAGATCGAGTTTGTTCCAAGTTAAGTTTGTAATTCTATTTTCCATAGAGGTGATTACACACTTTTTGAAAAATTATTGTTTTTCGCTAAATTACATATACATGTCTTTTAAGTTTCTTAAAACAATGCATACCAAACAAAAGTTTTTTTTTATCATAATGGCATGCTTTTACCAGACGTGTATGGCATCATACAATTTGATAAATCCATTTTATTAATACACATTAAAATTACGTGAATTCTGTGTAGGGAAAAAAATTAAACACTTTGAAACACATTTTAACTCTCAGTTATTGCTTATATCAAATTCTCTCACAAATTCAAATTTAAAAATTTCGGCTTCCAACACTAAAATTGACGCATAAATACATAACATACACGTGTATATCTTATGTCTCTTATCTCTTTTGGAGTAACGTGTCTCCATCTTAGATGAATTAAACACTATTTAGCGTCTGGTTACACTGTTGTTAGAGTTACATGTATCCACAAGATTTCGCTTAGCGTAGGAAATCGATATTCCAATGCCATCTCGAGCTCGGGGCTACGCGATGCTATCAGCTTGTCCTTATTACATGGAATTTTAAACTTCCATGTCTAAAAACTGTGTTTGTATTTCCTCAAGTTAGTGTATTAGGAAGATGAAATAATAAATTTGTAAATAACATACTTTGGATAATGTACATGTGTATTCTCTAACACCCCCCCCCCCCAAATAAATAGAAATCTTTATATTTATATCACTAATAGCAAAATCACAAGAAAAATTGTTCGAATTTGATTTCTATTGAAAAATATTCCCAGTTATAAAATCAGAATATATATATTATATGTGTTATCAAAATCTATACTCAGCAAAATCAGATCCAGAGGAATTCTCATGATGCCTTTCTTTTCTCAACCACTAAGAATTGCTAACTTAACAAAGTAAGAAAGAAATTTCATTTAACAGACTTTTAGTGTCATTTCCCAATAATATGACTGTATTGTCACGATTACCTTAACTTGTACTCCGAAAAAAAGGGGGGAACTGTACACGACAGGGTTTACTTATCTGGAATACTCACCAATTGCACCCCTGGAATTAGGATGAGGGACGCTGCAATCATTAATCCGTACAGAACAAACCCCGCGTAAACAATGCCTTTATACTCTGAAAAAACAATATTATTGAAAGTTTTATTGTAAAGCTGATGAAAAATACTTATTGCAGATATTAACGTTACAGAATATGTTTTATATACAAACCTTGGGAGTCTTCAATTAACTGGTAGCCAACATAACGGAAAAGGTAAAATACAAGACATACCAGTGAGTTAATCTAAAAATAAAAAAATGAAAGAATTTGAAATATTTACACCCAATTTACTAGTAGTTTTTATATGTCCATCAAGATTTCCTTCATTCCAAACAATAGAAAAGTTACATTTTACAGAACTGATTAAATTCTCTACGTGCCCTCTGCTAAACAATATTTTCTGTCTACCGAGAACCTGCGTGTGTTATTTTTTAAACATGCACAATTGAGTCTTACGCTGTTAAATGAAAAAAAATTAAATAATCAATATTTTCAATATTTGAAAAAAAAATTACAAAATAAGATTACATTCTTAAATAGTTCTTATTCTTTGTAAATTTCGGGAAAGTAAAAAAATTATTCGTTATGCAAATTATGTGAAATAGTTAACTTGGTGTACGACCCCATATCAGGTACAAGCAAACCTTGGTTGATAAATGACCTGTCCCGGTAGACTTAATGGTTAATTAATAAAGTCACTAAAAACGTGTAAATAGGGGCTATCTGTCGTCCTCTAGCTTCAGGGGGAAATTCACAAATATTATGTAACTCCTAATGACTAAAAAAATAAAACAAACACGGTAAAGGTGTCCTCAAGATTCCTAATCCGTGTCGCATCCAAATCATGCTAATGTGTCACTTGAGCACGGCTGTTTTGGCATTATCGTTTAATCTCGTTTAGCATTGAAATAAAATAATGAAATTGTTCCATATAGATGGAAATTCAATCAGTTCTCCTGTTATGCTTCGTAGCGCATCAGGCACTTTATACACAATTATACAAGTCGATATGGTAATGTCAAACAATTGAATTCTACTGAATCATTTCCATATTGTATTGATTGATTAACTGAATTCTTTATGTTCCTATGTCGTGAAATCGATATTGAGAGAGAGAGAGAGAGAGAGAGAGAGAGAGAGAGAGAGAGCAGTAAAAACTTACGATACATTTTTGGTATTTAAATTATAGCACATTTTATTCACTTTATAACACTGTGGCCTCCAATTAAATTTCTTGTTTCTAGAGATTTATTACACGTTTATAAAACCGTACAGTTACTTTTTCGCAATAAAATGATCAAAAGCCCAAAGAAAGGACGAGGGCCCACCATCTTGATAAAATGTCAATATTTGTGCGGATTTTAAAACTTCACATCATCTCAGAAACTGAAGCGAAGATAAACAGTCGTTAAAATTCCCATCAAGTGACTCACAGTAACAGAAAAGGGTTTAACAGTAAAAGAAAAATGGCTTTTGATTAAATACTAATTAAAAAAGCAAAACCTTGCGAACAATGAAGATGAGTTACTACTGTATTGCAGTATTCCAAACTGGGTCGTGTTTTTATACAGTTAACAAATATGTACATTTTTGGTAGAAAAATCGCTGTCAAACAAACGATACTGATTTACTTTCTTTGTACGGTTGCCAGTCATTTTGGCGAGAACACCCGTGGTGACATTCCAGACCGTGAGAAAACGTGTCTACTGTAAGACCGACAAATGACTGCTCAGTGAGACTAGTTAAAAAAAAAATCACGATTGAAAAAAAAACATGATAACGAGATACGACAGCTATTTTATATATTTAAAAAAAAATATCACTACATCACTTTAGTTGACACAGCACGAATTCCAAGGTACAGGTCGGCAAAAACTACAGACCAACCCATCGTCAGTATACATTCAAACACACACACAGAAACAAAAAGACGTACCAATGTGTAACATCCACATATAAGGGTTCCTACCCTCGTGTTAGAGAAACACAGAAAAGTCTTTACAATGGCCATGCCACCGTGTATGTGTAGAACTAGAAGTCTATGCCACCATTAAATGTGTCTCCTTCCTGTTCTATCGACCGTAAGTCATGAACGGGACACTGTGCGACAGTTCACCTGAGCGCGTCATCATCGACGACTCGATACACCTGTAGTCGGCTACAAGAGAACGAATCTTCTAACAACACAAAGGATGAAGACACACTGCCTTAGACAAATATCCTCGTGTTTTAACGGAGACGTTGCTTTTAGTTTTTCCTCTTTCTCCACTTCACAAAAACCATAATCGCATTATCGACAGTGGAATGTGGGTTCTATTCAATTTAAACTCTACAACGGAAATTGAACAATGGGGACTCATACCTAACTTATGGCGCGTGTTTTCATTTCACATTTACGTGTAATCTGGGATGTATGTTTAATTACACACAAAGTTGTGTTTTTGTAAACACCGAGTGGTGTTTAGTTAGGATTACGACCCTCCCCTGTTTGCCGGGTCTTGTTCGTTTGTCCGTTAATGTTCTTGGTTTTGTTGCCCGTACAAACTTGACATAATCATTTTACGGTCAGTGCCACCAGCTGTTCTACAATAATAGAAATGTTCTCAAGCTGAATGAGTCATTTATATACTGCTTTACTTTCCCCTCTGTCAATTAAAAAAATATTGTTTATGACTTACCTCGTGGTTGGCAATGAATTAGTCTGAAATGGTCACCAAAAAAGTGGAAATTGCTGTGGTTCCATATATTCATCGCAAGATAAAGATTATTGCAATTTAGAAAATGTAACATTTACCAACATATGAACGTTTTAAGTATGACGTTTGCAAAGGAATGAGGTTTTTTTTCTTTTCAAATCAGAGTGGCTTATTTCCTTTCTTTTTATTAATAAATAAAAATGAAGACCTATAATAAAACATTTCTCAATGTAAGTGACACTGTGAACATGAAAGAGTACAAAGATTTTGTAAGTACTTTTAAAGCTGTAAAAGAAAAAAAACACGTTCTCTAACAAAGGATAGTCTTGAATTATCCAGACTTTATTCCAGATAATTAAGTAAGTTAAAATTGCACAATACGGAAGCTTTCAAAGTTGCAAGAAAAGAATGACGTATATTTTCTTTAAAATGAATAGCTGAGTTCTCCAAAAATAAATACAATTTGCTAGTTAAATAATTTTGATATAGCTCCGTCCGTATGCTGTTGTGCTTGATACAGATCGTCTTCCTGTACTGTTTTTCTGTCTTCATCTTTTGCACATTTTGTGGCCTCTTTTCTTTTCCGAAAGTTTTCCCTAACGTTGTTCACAAGAATGGCGCCACCGTCATCGGTTTCCGGAAGTTCCGTATTGAAAACTTTGCTTCCCTTTTTGAGTGCCTCCTGTGGCGATTTCATTAACTCCATTTCCTTCCTGATAGCTCCGATTGCTTTTTGAAGTCCTTCGTCGTCTTCTTCTCTAAGATGCGAAAAAATAACGACGTCATCCGCCAGACAATCGTAAAGATGACGAACTAGCAGCAAGACTTGTTTTTCTGATCTAAAAATATTAAAAATGATCTACAAATATTAAAAATAAATATTTGCATCAGGTTTATCCTTTCATTAAACAACCCCGTAACTTTACCGATATATAATTTATACTACAGAAAGCATACATTTGTAGCTACCTCATAATGCTTGTGCCCCCTCAATGAAAAAGCCTGATGACCTTTTTTTTTCAAGAAATGTTTGCTTGGTAATGTCCCAAACTGAAAATGTTTGCCCCCCCCCCCCAAAACTGGAATTGCTTCCTACAGCCCTCTTTCAAGACAGGTAAATGTGTTTTCACACTGAAATGCCGTTTGAAGTTTATTTCTAAGGTAAATAACCAGCTCTACAGTTCATCACTTCAGCACATTAGGCAAACTCTTTTTAGTTAACCAAGAAACTGATAAGAGAATTCAACTTAAAATTTATGATGGTCAGATCAAATACATGTTCACACAAGTAATAGGCACTTCATTTGAATAACACACCTCATCCAGTTCATAGTAAGTCAGTAAGATAACCTTCATTGTGGTTCATGTATGTTTTTTAATATTACACAACTGTTTGATGTCAAGAGAATTATATGAACTTTATAAAGCTGACATTTCATTGTTGTGTGTTATTTTCCTTATGAGGTTTCTGCCACTTATGCTCTTCTCCAAATATGGAACAAACACATTTCAACGCATGTCAGCCAGAGCATGTTTATAGAAAAAAAATTTATCTATTGTCAGATATATATATCCTGGTATATTCCCAACCTTGATCATGTTGGTATTGAATTTTATTCATTTTATTAGAATTTCCACAATTCTAGCATTTACATTTAAATTCTTTTTGCAAATCACTGAAGGTACACTTAAATATAACATATTAATATTTCCTTTTAATTTAATTATGCTGAGCCTAAATGGAATTTTAATCTGATAACACCAACCAAGTTTTACTTTAAAATATCAGTTCAAAGCACTTAGTTTTACACACAGTGATTTTAAATATCCTAACCACATTAAAAAAAAAAAGGAAACAACTCTGAAGATTTTCTGCATGACATCACTCTTACAGATTGAAATTTACCTGATGATATGGAATCTGTTTTTCTTAAGATGTACCAATAATTTAATTCTAGAAAAAGACACCTTACATTAAAAAAAATTCAGATTGTTCTAAGACAAAAGGGCTTACTTTGAGTAGACTGTGACATGAGCATTGTCATGAGTCAATGGAGGATGAATTATCAGCTTCATTCCAGAGAATGCATTTAATGTAGACTTGTAGCAGTTCTGATGAGCATTGAAGTGGAACTGGCAGATCTTCTCCATCCAGTCAGCCAAGCGTGAAGCATTGGACCACACTGTCCTCAATTCCAGATGACATTCGATGTGTGTTAATAAGGATACGGTTCTCTCTAACCAATTATCTAACAAAACAAATTATCCTGATTCAAACCAATTCTCTAACAAAACAAATTATCTTGATTATTTGTGAAAAATCATCTACAGTGAAACGTGTCTAATACAGATGTTATGTATTCTGAAATCGAGCCTAACTTGATGTAAACTTGAAGTCCCTATCAGTAAATTCATTTGTTAAAAATGTCTAGTCCAGTATTTTGTCTAATCTGGCCAATTTCTTTGGAACCACTGGTATCCAGATTAAACAAGTTTTACTGTAGAGAATAAAGAATAATACATGTTTCTACTCCAACATTGTCCAAATGGTGTATTTCTGAGAGTAAACATATACCACACTGGTACTTTTTTCATTTGCCAATAGAAAGCAGATTCAGTTAGGCCAAAAAAAAAATTACCCGGTATTCAATACTTTTTTAGGCGCGGTCGCATCAGGTAAAAAAACTGTCACATTAATCAATTGTATTGACATATGGAAAAGGGATATAACCCAATTTCCTATTTTTCCAAGTTAAAAATGAAAATTGAATTATTCCCCTTTTCATAAATGCTAATACATGTAATTAGATACACAATATATTTCTTGTTAATACATTATTTATGAATTAACTTTTTAACAAATTTTTGAAATAACATTATTTAAAGTTGAATACATGTTATAATTTATGTATTAAAGAGAACAAAAATGTAATAATCAGTTGATATCATCATTTTGTTGACATGAAAAAAGGTACACCTGCTTCCAAAAGAAAAATAAAAATGCCTGCCGCATTGAGTTTCGAAATTTTTGGCCTGAGAAACTATTAATTAATTTTTATTGGCCTCATAGTTCTTAGCTCCAGAGAAAGAAAATATTTAAAATTGTAGTGCATTAGTATTCCTTGAATTCATTTAAAAAAAAAAATTATTACAGTAATGGAAATTTTTACATTAATGAAACATACCACTGTTTTTACAATCTTTCTCTGATACCATTTCCAAAGAATATTCTTCTTTAATTAGTCTATATGCTTCAATGGCAATGACTCCACAAGAATGCTGCACTATGTACAAAGGTCTTAAATCACTTGAGTGTCCTTCAATCCCAGAGCCACAAGTCAAGGTTAGAATGACCTCACAAGAAAACTGTGAGTGGGAGACAAAACTAGGAAGATCTGTCTCACAAACCACAACTCCCCTCTCAAGGGGCTGTAGCTCTGAGGGTAATGGCATGGATCTGGTGACCTTACTCATGTTTTTCCTTGTGACCTTTGAACTTCTGTTTTCTGGGTATTCAGCCACCAGCCACTCACTTCTGGTGTGTAAAACTTTTCCTGACTGACAGCCATCTTGATGAATGGGTAGAAGTGACAGTGAAAGGTCACAGAGTGGGCTAAATTTAAGAAAATAAATTTTAAACTATGGTGAAGTATCTCTATAACTAATGTTAAATGACACATAAAGTCCCAGCTTCCTTTACCAGAGCAAATGATGATATCATTAGAATTCATGATTTTATGCTGTATCTGTTTCAACTAATAAATCTAAAAGTAATTTATGAGAAAGCTGACGAAAACAGTGCTTACCTATCGTAGCTATTAACAAGGTTTAATCCCACCAACCATTTGCTGTCATTTGCAACCTGCCAAACTTTTTCTGAAGAAATCTGTAGGATATTGTTTGACTAAATGAAGAGAAAGAGAAAACATTACCAAAACTAATTGGACCTACACAAATATACAAAAATAACTGGAAAACTGACCAGTCAGCAAGTGGCCCTATAATACACAAATGTTCAAAAGTAACTGAAAACTGACCAGTCAGTAAGAGCCCTACAGAGAGTCAGTGGGATTGGAAGGAAGTGAAAATTTCATATAAATGAAAAAAATTAAAAAGGAAACTTAAAAAATAAGAAGAATGTGAGACAATAATTATGTTTCAAGTCAAATTTTCAAATTCATACACACACCTGTATTGCCCCTTTTGCTTGAGAACATTGATTCAGATGGAGTAGTAATCTCCAATTGTCTGTGATGAACTTTGACCTCTCTTTGTTGACAGCGTGAGACTTGTTATGGAAAGCTATCAGCTCATTCTGAAAACAAACATACAGTAATAAAACAATAAAAATGCTTTCATATAGAACTGTATATTACTTAAGGAGATGGGCGAACATAGCGTGCAGAAAGCCTATAGCTTCAGATATATAAAAATCATGTTCAGTTTGTGAATTTAGTATTTAGAGTAAAGTTTTCATTATTGAAATTTATGAAATTATGATAAACAAACTTTTCTGAGGAAAATTTTCTCGACAAAATTTATTCTTTTATTAGAAAAATTAATGTGGTATTCGTGGGTTCAAACCCTGGCAATAAAAATCCTGAGTATTATTTTCTTTCGAGACTAGCACGCTAACCACTAGACTACAGAAGTCCTGATGAATAGTGGCATTTAAATCATGTTTGTGATATGACCCTTGACTTAATGGACTTCAACTATTTCTCGAAAAGATGGGGATGTTATGTCATAAAAGTATATTTTTAAGGTGTAGTGGGTCATTGCTCCATATTTTTGGTAACCAAAAAATGTACATTTTTATGCAAACTTTGAGGATTAACTTTCAAAAAGGTGGAGCAAAGACCCACTCATATCAAAAAATAGTATTATAGTATGAGAAAATGACTCTTTTTGCCCGCTTTAGTGTGTGTCTGATATTTCACAGGCAAATAATTTCAATCTTTGAGGGATTTTTGCAAATTATAGAGATTTTACATGAAGTATAATTTAATGTTAGACGAAATATCAAGGAAAATTTTGATATAATTGAAATTTAATTTTTCATCTTCATGTTTGTCACACTATAGGCTTATTGCTCGTCATGTTCACCCATTTCCTTTTCAATTGATAGTTTCACACTTCATAAAACAAATGGACACAGATCTGCCCTTGTAGTACATGTAGTAATTGAAAACGGTGGTCAGGGCCAAATAGGCCAATGAAACTAGGAAAATAAAGGACACTTTTGAAGTACATTAAGGATTAATTATTAAACTCAGATTACAAATATACCAAAGTACCTACTATAGACCTAAAGATATAGAAAATAACTTTACCGACTTCTCTGTCAAAATTAGAATTTAATGAGTCTCTACGTAGTGTGTGTCAACATTTTAAATTTTGTTTAAAGACTCAAATATTTAAATTAAATACACTCTAATTGCAAAAAGCAATCCTCAAAGAAAATAAAACAGTACTTGTACATGTTATATACCTCTATATATCTAAAGCTGGAAATAGGACCAAATATTAGCCTATCAGACAGAATCAATCCAAAGTTGAATATTTACCATATTTAAAAATTTGAGGAAAGCATTCTTTGAACTTGTAATCTGATGAATGCTGTGATATCAACATGGACATCATTTATACAATTTTGCATTCAGCTGCTCATGCAGTGTTACTCCCTGCACACTGCTTATTTATGATTGGATAATAAAAATACAGTTGAACTTCAGTATCTCAAACACCAATATCTCGAATACAATGGATATGTCAAAGTGATTTGGAAATATCATATACCTAGTAGTATATCAGCCCTCATAGAGGCGTATTGGACTAGTTGAGACAGCATCTGGGAACTAGAGCTGTCTCGCCCTCAGGGCTGAGATATCCCTGTCTCAGCTCGTTGTCAAGGGGCTGTCTCACCCTCAAATTTCAATCCATTATTTCTGTTTAATTTTGTGAATTAAGATTGATTGATTGATTGTATGTTGTTTTATGTCCTGTTCGAGAATTTTTCAATCATATAGAGACCTCACCATATACTGGTGAAAGGCTTCAAATTTAGACCTTTACTCGGCACTCAGGGCCATTGAGCAGTGAGGGTTCTTTATCGTGCCAACACCTACCATGACAATGGGCCTCGGTTTTTTAAGGTCTCATCCGAAAGACCTGCAATTTTCACTCAGAAGTGCCGAGTACTTGGTGAAGGAACAATTGCTACTTATTTTTTATCGACTTAGGTCAGTTGCGGACATGATTCAAACACACAACCTTCCAATCACGGTGCAAGCACTCTACCGACTGAGGTACCGTGACAGTAAGTTTTTCTTGGTTCCATCAAGTTCAAGATACCAAGGTTTGACTGTACATATAAACATGTCATGTATAATATTTATAAGCAAAGTTTACAAAGCTTTGTCTAAAGGTCACATAAAAATTACATTTAATTGAATTAAGAGAAAAATCCATATTTAAGTGTTCAAGAAAAATATTTTATTAAAATTAGAACTGAATCTTCATAAATTATTTATTTATTTATGCTAGAATATGAGAAAACTGTTTTTAAAAAGTGCGCCAAATGATGGTACTTGTGACGTATGGGGTAACTCTTGTTTACTGAGAACATCAACACATCATAATGTTTTGAAAAGATGTATTGCTTTGACAGTAAGACAATACCACATTTTCTCTTAATTTGTCATTTTTTAGTTAAATATATATCATAAGCAAGACAGTTACTATAAAACTCAGACGTGTAACGATTCGTTGAACATGTTGTAACCCGGTTTGATCAAAGTGAAAGAAGAGTTGTCAAAAGTTTGGAACCTTTATATCTTTGTAGTCTACTGTGCTTTGGAATGTAATATATATATTATGTAAACTTCAAAACACCAAGACTAATCTTTTTAATGACCAAATCAAGCAAATTCTTTCTTTACATGATTAATCACCTTTGTCAAGCAACACCTTTACCTACTTGAACATTGAAAATAAAGAAAGATAACTCTAATTTTATTTCTTGCAACAAAATTTAAAACTTTTTGATGGGAAAAAAAGTAGCTTAATATTTGTTCTTTTATTGCCTTTGGTTTTAGATATATGACATAAACAATGTCACACTGCTGTTTTGATCTCGGCCCTGGTATCAGCCCTCTGATGGTCTCAGCCTGCGCCCTCCAGGTTTGGGACCAACCGCTTGGGTTGATACCAGGGCCAAGATGCTGCTCAAAACAGCAGTGTGATATTCCAGGGTTCGACACTAACGTTAGTTTGTTAGTCTCAGACTAATACATTTTCATTCGGACTAATAAAATATGTGGCTAATTAGTACGAACGGACCAATAAAAATTTCTGAAAAACAATATGAATAAATTACCGATGTCCGATTCTCGACAACTTTTACTGGAAAACCCCGCGTGAATTTTTAGATTTCTAGCTTTTGGCGGGTAGTTACGCAATGCCGGGTCAATTCAGCACTTAATTTTTCGACTGATCGATATGAAGTATAAGGTTTTAGCGATCATGATTTAGTATGACACTTTTAAGAAAGATGATGGACGTTTTGGATGTAATGTAAAGACAAAGAAAAAAAAGGAGATCGGAATATAATCGTACTTGCTGATTGCGAGATTTCAATGAATCTGTGGAATAATATATTTCACGTAAATACTCTGTTTATTTCAAAAGACAATAAGTATTACATGTATTAATTGTCACGTTTAATAAATCTTTAAAAACATTGATGTTTCTTTTTTTTCTTTTTCTTTTTTTTTTTTTCGACGGACTAATAAAATCGCGCGCGGACTAGTAAAAGTAATGAAGCACTAGTCCGGTTGGACTAAAGCCTTAAAAAGTTAGTGTCGAACCCTGTATTCTATATGTTCCAATCACTAACTCTTTAAGTATTTACCCTTGATATCTCAGATCTTCCAATATCTCAAAGTTTTTCTTGGTTCCATCAAGTTCAAGATACCAAGGTTTGACTGTACATATAAACATGTCATGTATAATATTTATAAGCAAAGTTTACAAAGCTTTGTCTAAAGGTCACATAAAAATTACATTTAAAGTTCTTCTATTACACATGTTACAGTTCCAAAGTCTTCCCTTGTATTTCGAAATTGAATTTGAATTTTGCCCAAATGATTGAAGAATAAATCAAATCATACAACAATCATTCAGGATCCTTAGATCTGGAGAACATATACCTAAACACTACAGTTTCGATACACTCAAACAACCTCTTATTTGTACATGTTGTGTGTTACCTGAAGTCTTTTCTGTAGAGCAAGAACAGCCGGCCTGTGGCTTTCATCAAGGTCAACCTCTTTCTCAACAGTTCTTTGATCAAACAGCCATGCCCCTTTGTCTGTAAGAAGCCAACCTGAGTTTTCTGTCAGTGAAAATCCACTGAATCTGCAGAGAACCTGGGTCTGACCACAATCAACAAAATCATCCTGGTAAACTTCTATTACATCAGTCACTGTTTCTATAATCTGATCAAAAAGATAGCAACAAATATCTTAAAAGTATGCATATTAACAATAAATAATATGGAATCTATACATTTAAATACAATTGTAATGATTATGATTATCCAGTTTCTAACATTTCTTCACAATAATCAAATTAATGAAGTAGCTGACTAGAAGATAGAAGAGTTACCTTCCCTTCCTTTGTGTTGATAAATGTTATGACATTATCATTGTGGATAACCGCAAACTGAGTATTTAAAGAGTATGCACTCCACGAAAACAAAACTGTAGACTCTGTGTCTGATATTGATGTAGGCAAAGCCCAAAGAATCCTTCCATGTTGTAAATAAATAAAAAATCCATCAGTTGTTAATGTAATGATATCTGAAAAATAAGCTGTCCTTTCGTGATCAGTCACTCTGGATAACTTTAAAACATTAGCTGTAACTAAGTTTTTAAACTCCTCAGGAATTAACAAGCTGGAATCTACTGTTTCCCACTCCTCAGAAAAACTATCAAGAAAGACAGTGGAGAGCTCTGTTTGATCATTCCTTGAGATGTAGGAAATTATGACCACACTGCTTAAATCTTCACAATATCCAGACCACAGAACACTTTTCATAGAAGCATTCTTCAGAAAGACAGACTCCTTCTGGTTATTAAAACCTCTGTGGAAAATTATGTTTTCGTAGCTGTCTCGTAAAATGCCTGGACCATCAATGAAGTAAACACTGTTTTGTCTCGATGTGGATAAGGTATCGAATTTAGCAATTACACGACATGATCTAAATTTCCTTTCAAGTTGAAATACTAATCCAGTACTGCTTTTCGTAACAGTGTATAAGAGTATCACATTAAACCCCGTTAAAATGTCTAGTTTAACCTTAATGTCTACGATTTTTACAATGTCTTGCTTTATGTCAATAGATAAATCTTGGCATTTCATAAACCGTTTACGATTCTGACAGAATCCGTAAAGACTCACTTTAAGACAACAAAACCTGTGGTTTGATGTGGATCTCTCAATCGAGCATTGACACAGTTTCCCGTCTACTGTAAATAAATGATCCATTTGAGTAAACACTCATCAATTGAAGAATGAACATGATACTCTCACTACTCTGCAAAAATTACAATAACGAATGTCCTTTCGAAAAATCCGCCTCGTGTCAATATGAAAGTGAAAGAAGACATTAAATAAATTTGAAAACGTACACAGAGGACACAAATGATCCGGAATAATCGAAACGATACTCTGTCAAAAGCATTAGGGCACAAAAATAATGTTGATTAATATATATATATATATATATATATATATATATATATATATATATATATATATATATATATATATATATATATATATATATATATATATATATATATATATATCTATCTATCTATCTATATATATATATATATATATATATATATATATATATATATATATATATATATATATATATATATATATATATATATATATATATATATATATATATATACACACACAATGTATGTCCAGGGACATTGTATGTCCATAAGGGCTTGTATTCCGGTTTGTTAAATGTAAAATAAATTTTAAAAAATTTGAATCTACTTTCAAAATACACCTTACAGGCCCGTAGAACGCGGATGGGGAGAGGGGGGTTGCCCCCTCAAACTTTTTGATGTTGTAAGGTCGAGCACTGGCAAATTCCAGGATCTGGACAAAATTAGCTTTTTTTTTTTTTTTTTTTTTTTTTTTTGCTTGGTCAGTTTTAAGTTTTTTTTTGTCAGATTTTTTTTCGGGGAAGGGGACCCCCTTTTGAAACCGTTGCTACGGGCCTTCTTTGAAGTTGTTACAATAAAGCTTCTGACACATTCAGACAAGAAATGCCAGGTTTTAAAAAAAAAGTACCACAACTATATACATAAACTCTCCACTTTAGCACCTATTTCTGGACTCTAAAGCATTAATTTACGCATGCTGACGACTGACAGACACATCAACATTTAGAAAAATCATCACTGTAGGGAATAGAACCATGAAAACGAAAATTTTAAATACATTTAACAATCCGGAAGACAAGCCCCTATGTGTATGTCAACTGTTTCGAAGTTTCGAGAAAAGGTATCGAACCTCTCCTAGCAAGTTGTTATCATTAAAAATTTTGTGAAGAGACAATCGCCCCTAAATATGAGGGGTTAAATTAGTTGACACACTGCAAATGTATTTCAATATCCTCACTTAGCACTGGGTTGTCGATCTTAGTCTACATAAGGAAGCTCTAAACACTGCACACTAAAGAGAACTTTCTATTTGTAGGGTAGTATTATTGGGTTAGAGTGATCTGTCCTTATAAGAAAAACAGAGTAAATGGGAGTCTACAGTTAATGACACAAATCGTTATGAATTAAAGTATTCTTAATGTTATGTTAGGCCAAGATTAAGTAATCGAATACATGATTTCCATTAATTACAAATTATAAATGTATATTTGCTCTTGTATGACAAGTATTATAGTAATTTTATAATAATTGGGGGAGGAATAAAAAAAATGAAAGAAACTTGAAAATATGAATTTATTTGAAGAGATACACATGTATCATAAAATAAGTATATTTACATTGTGTATACATATAAAAAGAACAGTCAGAAAGTCGCAAATCAATCTATAACAATCTATAACCATGGCCGTAGGAACCGGGGGGGGGGGGGGGGCACGGGGGGCCGTGCCCCCCCCCCCCCAATAATTTTGCAGATATATAGTTTACTATAGAAAATAAATTTGCCGATATATAGTTTACTATAGAAAACATAGGTATTATATGATTGTGCCCCCTCAATAAAAACGTCTGATGACCTTTTTTTTTTTTTTTTTTGGCTTGTCAAGGAAATTTTGGTAGTTGATAGTGCCCCCTCAACTGAAAATGTATAGCTATGCCCCACCAAACTGAAATTGCTTCCTACGGGCCTGATAACAGTTACTTTCAAATTGATATTCCGAGTTATATTCCCATGAAGGAATGAATGTACAGATACTGGTCTTAATGAGTGAATTTTTTTTTCTTATGTCTGAATTTGGGGGGAGAAAAATCAAGTAAAAGTGTGTTGTTCAATTTTTCCACGAGCACAGTTTGGATTATCTATCATGCAAATAGATAAAAATTAGGTGTACTATATGCAGTTGAGTCTAAGTCGTGTGTGAAATATCTGTTCTTTGCGTTACCTAATAGAAAATATTCTGGGTTTCTTTCGGTTGAGAAATGCAGAGAAATACTCTACCATTGAGCTATCGATGTCGATATCAGCTGGCCTTTCCTGCATATAGGTATGAATTGTACTGACGGACTTTATTTCTGGAAGGGACACGTATGTTTCAGAGGAAAATACTAGGATTCCGAAGAGTAGAGTAACATGACAGCCAATAACATTTTAATTGGATGCAAGTGATTTATTAAAAAAATGTCATTGTTATATTAAATGACTGTTATGTACATTTTATATGTGAGTATTTTTTCAATGAAAAACAAATTTCCATTGGGAGAGGAAATTAAAAAAAAAATTCAAGAAATTTCCATTTGTTCTTTCTATAAGCAAATCTTAGCAACATTATGCTGTAAGTAAACAGACATTTCCAAGTAAATAATATTATCATATACAAATAATGTTCAAAGTTGTGAAATAATTTACTTGTATACCTACTTCACCTTTCTAAAACTAACTACACTTGTACCTTTTTCTGGCATATTCCAAATTCAGAAGGGTAATGTTAGAAAATTCATCATGTGATTCAGCTATAATTTTATAATTTCTAGCAACAAAAACTAAGTAAAAAAAAAATTCATGCTACCCAAATTAAACTCATATCATTTTAATGCTGAGGAAAAATTCAGGTTTAAAATTCAATTTTCAGGATTCTGCAGGCGCGGACCCAGGGATTTTTTTCCAGGGAGGGGGGTCCAACCAGTCAAAACAAAACAAAACAAAACAAAATATAGAACAAAATTAACCAAAAAAAAAAAAGAAAGAAAGAAAGAAAAACAAAACAAAAACAAAACAAAAAAAACATAAAGTCCATTTCCCACACGTGATAAAATCCTGTTGCGTGGTGGTGATGGTGGGGTCTACGTTTTCTAGGAGGGGGGGGGGGCAAAGTCATTTTTTTATTTGCTTCAGTATACACTTTTAATAAATCTGCAAATTCCAGGCCCGAACCCCCTTCTAGATCCGTGCCTGTTCTGTAAGAAGACAGGATATCAATGTGACTATCAAGCCCTCGTTCTCTATGAGAAACAGTTTGTGCAGCGTATACTGTCCTTTATGAAAACTTTGATATTTAATTAATATGCAATCAAAATCTCTGCAGATGAAATATATCAAATGTGAATTTGTAAACAATGCTTTCCATTCTTTAAACTTTACACTCTATAACTTCATGTAATACTTCACTATTCAATGCCTGTGACGGTTAATTTTTTTTTCACCAACAGTTCTGTTAATATGAAAGTCAAGCATCAAATTTCGAGGTCCCTTACCAGAACACGATGTGCGAAGCATTTGTTATTAAAACAAGACCATTTCTTGTAACGTCGGGATCTTATTGCCACCGAATCAGAGGAAACAAAAACTCGACTCATAGCGACCAGGTCAAGGATAAATTAAATGTCAAAACATGCCATGAAATTCAAATAAAAGGAGAGCATAAATAAGCACATTCTTGGGTCAGGAGGTGGCTCCTTGCTGACGTTAGAAAACCCCGCCCTTCTAATTGAAAAGAAATTCCAACGCCGGGCAGAAGCATTTCTTCCGCGTTATTTTGATCGCTTTTAAGACATAATAATAAAATAGGAAGACATTTCAACAAATATTTTTGTTAGGAAAAATTGAAAAATAATTACAGTATAGTTTTACACTTAAAGATTTACATCAACCTTTGTAAAATCTTCATAAGAACCGGCATTTACTGATATATTTTTTGAAAATAAATATTGAATCGTCGAAAATCAATTTTCTTTTTTAATATGATCAATTTTCTTTAAAAAAAAATGTTACATTTCACCTTCAAAATACTTTTTCCCCCCTCCGAGATATATGAAAGAAGTGATTATATGTAGATATATATGAAATGTACACACCAGCCTGAAAAAGACACAAAGAAAATCATTTTACAATAGAAACAACGCCCATATTGTGAAAAAAGGACAACAATTGAATAGATCTCGTGTAAAATACTTTAAAACATTTCAGTATCATGTTATATAATATATCTTGTCTTTTTCAAAAGTGTAATAATTACCTTTTACTTAAACACAATGAAAGCATCGTACAAAAACTGGTTATATAATATTAATTATATAAATGTAACATGCATTTTACCTTAAAAATCTAAAGTGGGAATTAGTGCGATTAATCATCAAGTAATTAGTTTATCTGTTGATGTAGAAGTATTTGACAGAGGGGTTTAACATGTTGTCAAGACACGAGTATTGTAATCAAAAGAATGGAACATCTGATGGCGATAACAAGTCACAAACAAGAAAACACCTGCAAAAAAAAAAAAAAAAAAAAAAAAAAAAAAAAAAAAGAAAAAAAGAAAAAGAAAGAAAGTTTTAAAGCATTTAAATGGTTTTTTTTTTTTTGGTATACTGTATCTATTTCCTTCTTAGTGCATATTTCATAACGACAATTACCCAAACTCCCTGTAGTTTCATACCAAAGTTATATACATATATATTTCAGGACCCTCTATACACTGATGAAAAATGGACTTTGAGAAAATGATATAGCGTAAAGGAGTATATATATCAAAATTATCTATTCCATTTTTATTTAAAATAGGGTTTGTGCCTTTAATACCCAGGAAAAATCTTCAAAGAAAATGAAAAATCGTGTACAGGTGGAGAGAGACGAAAGTCATCCTTGACCTTTCAGCTTTTGACCTTAAAAACTGTGTATGCAATATATAAATTTCTGACCTTGGTCTTTAACCTTTTGACCTTAAAAACATTTGGAGTCTTTTTGTCATATTAACTAAAGGTATAAAATTTCTTTTCAAAACCCCGAAGAGAACTACACCAGGAAACATTTTTATGCAAGATATGAAATTTTTACCATGACTTTTGACCTGAAAAATCAAAAATGGTCTTCGTA